ATGTTCAGCTCATTTGCTTAACAAATGAATCATAACCGAGCTCTTTAGCGAGCCGAACATGTGTTGTTTGTGATCGATAAGCTTTTTTGACAACCCTAGCTATTGTCTACATCAGAAGGGTTTTTTCCGTGCAAATTGCTTTATGGAGTGGATTATTTGCGACGCTGTAGCGTTTTCTAGAGGGGATTTTCCACATCAATGTGGAGTTTTCCGGAGGAATTTTCCCCTAAATAGTTACATTTTTTTGGATGGGATTCTTCACGCCGTGCTGCTGATGTTTTTTGGATGAGATTTTCTGCGCAATTGTTGCATTTTCTGAAGAGAATTTTTCGTGCCGCTTTGAGATGTTAATATCTAGGGAATACCCTCCCTAAAAAAAATAAAATCAACATAAATGTTAAACTTTTGAGAAGGAGATGCTGAAAACCTTTAAAGTTTAGCTGACCAATTTTTTAATGGCATGGAAGACTAAGCTTGTAGAGATCGACCACATCCTTGGTGAGTATAAATAGGTGCATAACTCCCATGCAATAAACATTGTCACTGAGATGTCAACTATCAAACTGTAGGAACGAAATATCCTATAATTACGATTTTTCTCTCACGGGCTAATCTCGATCAAAGCACGGAGACTTTGCAGTCTTTTTTGATTGAGGGTGTTTGCTCTTCAATAGAAGAATGTACAACAACGATTCCAACACGTAGGAGGAGACTTTCGTAGATGTTTCTGGCAAAATGTTTGTCAATCGTTCCATTGGACCGCAACTAATTTCAAGGACATGTTTTTCATTCAAGTGTCTAAAGTTCTCCCACTGGACCAGAAAGAGGGTTGAACTGAAAGTGACTTGTAAGAGTGCACTCTCGATGAGGAGAATGTTGTAGTGGATTGATGTTATTATTTTGTTGATTTATTGTAACTTTTGCACTAGTTTGTGTTGTTCGTTGCTGTTTAATTGCCTAAGATGACATTTGTACACATTGATAATGTGTTTCTAAATATGTCTTTCTTTCTTTGGTGTAGTAAAAATTTTGATGTTGCTTTTGCCTTTATTTTTGAGTTGTGGTTGTCCCTCTTCTGGGAAGCTTTTGCCATGCTTCTGGGTGTTGGTGCCAACTTCTGAGATGCTTTTGACCCACTCTTAGGCTGCTGCTGATGCCTTTGTCTCCGCTGTAGGAGCATAGTGGCATCAAACTTTTTTTGAGACTTATGTCTGAGATTCTTTGGCTTCTCAAATATATAGAAGTTTGCAATCAAAATTACCATATTTGCTTTGTATAAAGAAAAGCAATGTACCTTTTTAGGATTTCTACTGAGATTTTTAAGTTGAGACTACCGACCACTTGTTTTAATGGAGTTTTTCTAGTGAGGATTTTGTCCAATATTATCTTCTCATCAAGGCTTCCTCATGAGCATGCTTTATAGGGGTATAAGTGGAGATCTTGTCTGCCACTACGAATGCTCGACCTTTCCTAAGCTTTTATTTAAAGCGTGCCCGTTTGATGACTATAGCTTACAACAGAAGTCAATGGAAATTCATTGCTTGACGACCATGGTTTGTGATGAAAGAGGCCTAATTGATTCTCTTTGGGATCGATTAAGTCTATAATGATGTGTTAGAAATGTTCTTTGTTTTTTGAGATTGGGTATGTATTGAGATGGTCTGTACTTTTTTGGGAATATGGTTGCAACCGTATTCAAGAATAATGTTTGAAAACTTGCTAGTTGTTGTTTTTTAATTTTTTTTCATGCGATAATGATTAATGTCCACACGAACATCTCATATTTCATTCAGACAAGTCTTCGAGAACTATTTCTATGCTGGGGGTAACTCTCATCACAAAGATATTAACATCAACAAGCATTTGAGAGAACAATGAAGGTTGCCTCCTAGCCTTGATGTAGTTTTTATGAATTGTGATTAAATAAGATGAGAGAAAACTACCCTACCACAATCATTCTCGAGACGTTAATATGAAAAGACTTTAAAGGTTGCAACTAGGGTTGTCATCGACATTGAAGAATTAAAAAAACAGGGGCTTAATGTCTCAGACTTCAAGACCGTACTGAATGAAACTTTATTGCCCACAGATGATGCGAAATTGATGCGTGTCGGAAGGCTCGCGATAATAAGATTATAATTTAGTGTCTTAGCATTGAACAAAAATTCACACACATAGATAAAAGAGAAGCAAGAGACACTGCTATTTTTAGGTTGAAAACAATGGAAAGAGGAGAAAAATCTAAGTATTCCACTAAGGAGTTGTAGGTATATAGACCCACTCTTTCTTGAATTAGAGAAGATGAATTTACAATGTTGATGTGCAATGATAATCCAACAATATGTTGTAACAGGCCACGAAAGTCGCAGTTGATTGCTATTGAGATAGTAGCCCACTGTGAATGTTGTAGACAGTGACCATAACACCAAATTATCGTAGTGGTCGTAGTTGAAAGTCATGATAGTAGTTAGCCATGTATGTCATAGGTAGTAGCTTCATGAACGTCGGTTGGCCATAACGATCATAGTAGGGAGTTGAGATAACATTTAGAGGATGTAGAGTCCATAGTTGTAAGTCATATAGGTCGTAGTTGATCACATATGTCTTAGCGGGTAGTTATAATAATGTCTATAGGTTGCAAAGTCTAATGTTGAGAGCTGCGTGAGTTGTGAGCCATGTAGGCCGTAACAGAGGGTTGTAATAACGTTCTTAGGCCCTAAAGTTAGAAGTTGGGAGTTGCATGAGTCTTAGTTGGTCATATAGACCATAGTGGGGAGATGTAATAATGTTTGTAGGCCACAGAAGCTAGAGTTGAGAGCTGTATAAGCCGTGAGCCACATAGTTTGTATTGTGAAGCTGTAATAACGTTCGTAGGCCTAGAGGCTGGAGTTGAGGGTTGCGTGAGTTGTGAGTCTTATAAGTCATGGTTGGTCACGTGAGCCATAGTGGTAAACTGCAATAATGTTAATAGGCTACATAGGATGGAGATTGGAGTTGTATGATCTGTGAGTAATTTAGATCATAGTTGGTCCCCTTGGTCGTAGTGATAAGCTGCAATAATATTTGTAGGCCGTAGATGTCAGAGTTGAGAGTTGCATAAGCTATGAATCATGTAGGCCGTAGTTGATCACATAAACTGTAGTGGAGAGCTATGATAAAGTCTATAGGCCACAACAGTCGAAGATGGGAGCTGCATGAGCTATGAGCCATGTAGGTCGTAGTTCACGCATGCCATTGCGGTGAGTGATAATAACATTCCTTGGCTGCAGAAGCTGGAGTTAGGAGCTGCGTGAACTATGGGTCACATAGGTCGTAGTTGGTCGCGTAAGCCGTAATGGTGAGATGCAAAAATGTCTTTAGGTCGCAAAGACTAAAATTTGGAGCTGCGTGATTTATGAGAATGTCCATAGGCCATGGAGGATAGAGATGGGAGACTGTCTAGGGTGTGTTGTTGCACTATATGCGGGTTGTGCATTGCGCCGTACGATGCTTCGTTACTCCGCAAGACTAGTCATCACTTTTCAATGCTAGTTTTTACTTTGTACGTACATCATGACCCTTTAAGAGGCATCGTTGCAACAAGTAGGTGGCGGCTGATAGTAGTCAACAAGAATTGACGTGCGGTAGTTGATGGTGGTTGGGGGATGCAGGAGGGGAAAGCATTTACCTGTCTTCGATGCAGGACAACACTGAGATTTAGCTATTTCTACCGTTCCAGCTCTGGCTTCAACTCTTCCTCCAGCCTCCATGAAGGGGGTAGGACTATTTATAGAGCTTTGGAGAGGCCTCCCTAAAAACAAGGAACGAATCTGGACCACTCCATCGGATGGCCCAAAGAGGTTCTCTCGATTATACGATGTTCTATGTACATTTATGTGCCTTAATGGTGTCAGAATTTAGTGATTTTGGGCTCATTGGATTTTTCTTGTTGAGATGCTTGATTTGAATATAAGTTTGCCAGTTCTGGAAACCATTTGACATTTCAATTAGACATCAAAAGCTTCTATAAACGCGTTTGATGGCTTGACTTAGGCTTGATTTGACTCAAACTTCACCAATTTTGATGTCATTGTATCCGTCTTGTTGAGCCGGTCAGTTTGACTGTAAGCTTGTTGAAATCGGAGTTTTGGATGATTTTTTAGTTTGAGTTTGAATGTTTATTGCTAAAAAATGCTTCGAAATTTATGCTAATCGACTTGAGATCCGCGGAATGATAAAATTGTCTTTTTCAGTAGGAACCTCATAACAACATAACCATCAATCAATGTTGCTGCATTAGCAAGCTCTGTGGGGTCACGACCTAGTTAGTCATCTTTGCTATGCATTTTTGGGAAAACGGTCAAATTAATGCTAAATAATATAAGATGTCAAGGAATCAAAATATTTGCTTGTTATATGTTATCTAGCTCAAACAATTTCTTGGGTATGTATTCTTTGTGGTAATCAAGAGTACGAAACCTATAAAATTGCTAAGCTATTTTTAAGATATATTACTTATGAGAGATTGGGGGTCTTTGAACTTAAGTGTAATTGTTATTTCGGAGGCAACATAAATTGTTCAGGGTGAAGCATTATATATGCTTGTTTGATGAAAAACGTAATTTTAGTGCTCTTCATTATTTCTATTCTCGTTGACCGCACATTCCCTAGCATGAGAGTGGAAAGTGGATTTGAATGCCCATATGTTTTGATTGAAGGACAACTATTAATTTAAATTATCAAAATTTAATGTAAATTAGTTATTTGTCCACGTTGATAGACAAAAAAATTTAAATCCAAGGCACCATAGATGAATTTATTTAACTGTTCTCTCTTCATCTTTGTATTTCTTTTATTTTTTCTGTAGCTTTTCAGGTATGATCTTCCGTAGTTTATATACCTTACAGGTTTTTGTTTCCTTCCAGAAGACTGTATATCCTGTTTTATGTCATGGTTCATTTATGTTTGCATCATTTGCTGCTCTCTGAGTAGATTGTAATTTAATTTTTTTTCATTTATAGCTGTTCTTGTTGAGAATGGAAAATTCCTTCTATCTGCAAAAAGGGTCCGTCACGCAACCTGCACCGAGTATATCATTTCCATGGATGCAGAAAATATCTCTAGATCAAGCAATGCTTACATAGGGAAACTTAGGTACATAGATTTGACGCATATTATTTCATCACGAACACCAAATTTTACACCTAAATCAAGCAACTTTGATTTTGCATTCCAGGTCAAATTTCCTTGGTACAAAGTTCCTTGTATATGATGTGCAGCCGCCCTACAATGGGGCCTCGCTAGGTCCTCGAGGAAGAACAAGTAGAAGGTTTTACTCCAAGAAAGTTTCTCCCAAGGTTCCTACTGGCAGCTATAAAATTGCCCAAGTAGCATACGAACTGAATGTCCTAGGCACTCGTGGCCCACGTCGAATGCAATGTGTTATGCACTGCATCCCTTCCTCAGCCCTCGATGCTACTCTTTCTCGCTCTCTTGATGAGTCATTCAGTAGCAGAACCTTTTTGAGGTCCTCCATGGACCACTCCATGAATTTCAACAGTTCTCGATTCTCTGATTTCAGTGGAGTTGGATTTGCCGAGAATGGTTATGAGGAGGAGGTAAAAGAGAGGCCCTTGGTGCTTCGAAACAAGGCTCCAAGGTGGCACGAGCAGCTACAATGCTGGTGCCTTAACTTCCGAGGCCGTGTGACTGTTGCCTCTGTGAAGAACTTTCAGCTCATCGCTGCCAACCAGCCAGCGGCCGGAGCTCCGACACCGTCGCAGCCCGCACCGTCTGAGCATGACAAGATCATCCTGCAGTTTGGAAAGGTTGCGAAAGATATGTTCACAATGGATTATCGATACCCGCTATCAGCATTTCAGTCTTTTGCAATTTGCATGAGTAGCTTTGACACGAAGTTAGCTTGTGAATAAATACAACGAGGATGATGATTTAGAAGCAAGGATAGATAAATGCACACTGATATTGCTGCTGTTGCTACTGTCGTTGTCCGTTTTTATCTGCTTAATGCTAAACTGCAACTATTTCTGGGCTGTAATCTCCACTGGTTTCTCTTTTTTTGTGATTTTGAATGGAGATTAGCACCATTTTATTTGATTTATATACTTATTGTTTTGTTTTGTTTATTTTTCTTTTTAATTCAAACATATATTCGTAATACTTAGTTTTGAACATGACCCTGTGATTATAGATATAGACCAGCCACCAAAGCTAAATTGGGTGTAATATTCTATATTGTTAAGAGCAGTATTACCTCTATGTTTCAAATTATAGGATGTCTATTGTTATGGCATGCCCCACAATTCTTATCTTTTAACATATCTGCCATCTAAACTTTCAAATTTTTATTTATAACACTGGTCTGATGGATCTATGCATGAAAAAGGTGCATATCACTTTTAAATAGTTTGTGATAGTGGCATTTTGTATGTGATATTAAAATTTGTAGTGGTATGCATGTAAATTCTAAATTTTATGAGTTAGATATTTAAATACACAAGAACTGTCTGGTATTTATGTAAATGCCCCTTTTTTCAATTCAAATGTTCCAGGCTACATTTTTGCTAGTTATGTTTGATATTGTGGTGTACCCGTGTATGTCCAGATAGTGATAAATATTAGGTTTTATTTTTGTTGTATAAATTTTGTAGCAATGAATTTTAAGATCTATCAACTTTAGGAGTGGGGAAAATGGTTTTGATAAAAAAATCCTTATTCTTCAGTAAAGTATTAGTTGGGAGAGAAATATTTGCGTATGTACGCAGAGTTGCGTACATATTAAGTTATTCAGATGATACATATAGGTTACATTTAGGTTACAGAAAAAATTACAAGGGGTATAACCTAAGTGTAATTTATTTGTATCTTCTTAATAATCTAATATATACGCATTTTTGTGCACGTCTTACATACGCAAATATTTCTCTAGCTGGGAGGTCCGCTCAAATTCACGGCAAAAGCTTGCACTTGACTTTGTTCTATAAAAATTTTGGTAATTTTGTGAATTCACTCTTTTCCCCTTTGTTTTCGTTTTAAAAAATTCATATAAAAATAATCTTGAAAATAATATTTTTAACTTTTAATTTTTTGAATATAAATTTTCTTTCTTAAAATTTTGAGAAGTCGTAAAATTTGTAATAATAATTTCATAATTTTGGACGCCGATCTGAGTAATTTTTTTAAATAGATTATATAATTTAACTAAAGATTATTAAGTTAATTTTTGATTAACCAGTGTTAAAATCATATTAGTTAATTCTTTTTATTATTGATTATATAATTAAATTGAAAGAAATTTATACCTTTTTTACAATTATTATTGTTAGTTATATACTGCTAAAGGTTCATTAATCTGAACAATTAACGATCATTAAAATTTCACTGCCTCTAAATAAAATGGTTAGTCTGAAGAATTCATTAACTTTGTTATGTAGAAATGATCCCTTATTTATAGATTAGGGAGGTTTGAGGTATACAATTACCTGTTTGCCCTTGTTTTAAGTAAGGACTTCCGGTTGGGATTTTTGAAAGTAATTTTAATTTCATGCATATATAATTTTGAAAAATATATTTTAATTCGAAAAATGAGACTAAAAAGATCTCTTACATTTTAATAGTTTAAGTAACCAAACACAACGCTACAAGCAATGTACATATCCCGAGGAATAGATACATTTCTTGACAGTGAGTTCGATTAAATAAACTAAAGAATTTTTGACATCCGATTGGTCTGCGAATATTTTTTATCTGAAAAACAAGTTCTACTACCTAATGTAAAAATTAGATACGGTTTATATTATCTGGGTTTTAAGTTGCCTAAAAGGGCAAGCCCCCATAATTAATTGCATCATAAATAATCGAAGTCATTTAAGAAAATTCTAGACGATGATTAAAGTTTTTTGTCTTCAAGAATTCAACGTTTAGGATTTCAAGGCTGGACATGAAAAATTAAACGGGAAATGACCAAATAGGAATTATTATCTTAGGAATTCAAAAGAAAGAAAAGTAGAGGACGTCACAAATCCTGAGGAGAACGTCGATGACTTACCAAACTATCATATTGTTTGCTTTCAATTTTAAAGATGATATTATTTGATTTTTCAATCCTATTTATTTTATTATTTAGGTCTCACATTTGCATGATACACAAATTATGCAAATAACGACAACCTCAAATCCTATAAAAAGTTAGGATGGTTGTGCAGGAACCTAAAAATAGAGTGAGAATTTACATTGTGCTAGACGAACTACCATAAAATATTATGCGTTATGAAATTTTAAACTAAGAAAAGTTTAGTTGAAGTAGATATTGTTTCATGTCGGGTCTTGATTTGTCGGTGGAAGTATTTTTATCATTCATTTGCATCCTCGGCGTGCTGCCCAAAAGCTTGCTCCGAGCTCCATATCGTAGCTATTATGGGTTTAAAGTTTATGTGAACATGCAGATTGTTGAGTCATGGCTTATCGCAGGGTACCACCTAGCATATGTCCTAATGTTGCCTATCCTAGGGCCTTTGCAAGTATTATAAATAAATGTATAAGTAAAAGCAGTAAAAAAAAGTTTAATAAAAAATGCAGTAAAGTGAGTAAAATGTAAAATAAACATGCGTACTTGGGATTCCTGTCCCTATTGCAAGGTTAGTACAACATAATATAGTAATTTTGCAGGAAATTTAAACAAATTGTAAGAAAATCCGAGGAAAACTTAAACAAGTCGTAACAAACCCCGAGCGAATAAAACAAAACGTGTTGTCACATATAGAAGATTAATGCTGGGTGAAAGATTTATAGCAACAGGGGAGCTTAGAACTAGGACCGAAGCTCTAGTTATTCTTCCCGAAGGAACTCCGTAGGCAACTTGTAAGTACCATTTCTGTGAGACCCAACATAGGGTAAAAGGCTATCAGCCAGGCAATCATAGGAGGGCAATCCTCAACCCCGTCTATGTGACTGTTATATGAATTTTTCCGGAATAATATTTTAAAAGTTGAATTTTAATTTTTCATGAAAAAGTTGTTTAAATTTTGTAAACATTTAACAAACAAAATAAAATTTTTCATTAAAAAAATATATTTTTTTATTGTATTTTGGAAAATCAAACATTCATGAGTCAGTCACACTGACGAGCTAGGACTATCGATCACCCATGAGAATGAGGGTTAACTCTTTACTAAATGTTTGGGGGTAGTAATGTCAATCCATGACCCACTCACGAGTCTATGACATACAATACTTTTCACATACCCCAATACCATTCTCATCATTACTCTTACCACTAAGATCGCCAACTGACACCAGCCCGATGATTCATATGTGGCATTTAAAAATGTCTCCAATTAGCAGGAGTATCTGAGTGAAAAGTTCAAACTCAAATAGCAAAGTATTGGGTTTCATTTTAGATTAAACTAGAATGAGGATTTTCATTAGTTGATTTAAGTAACAGAGTTCTGGATCATGTATTGACGGGTCCTAAAAGATTTCACTTGGTTTGACTTGTCTCTTAAGGATGATTTTCCCTAATAAATTTTGATATGTCAAAATGTCCTCTAAGATATCAAAAGTCTTGCAAAGATGTCCTGAGAGTGATTCCAGACAACCTTGGGCTTTCCTGGACTATCTCAAGTTCATTAGGTCTTATCACATGGTAGGGTCAATTACCCTATGTTAAATTAAGATTACATTTATTATGTTTGGGGTTCTACTTAATGTTTTAACTAACCCATGGATTGAGGATATATGATTAATTTCAACATCCAATTGAATGTTGTGTGGGCAGACCCATTTGGGGTGTGCTTGTGAGACATAGAGAAATTACACTCTATCTTGGGCTTAAAGTGTTTTCCAACTAATCATTAAATTTCATTAGATTAAACCTAGCTCTCTATCAAGCTCTCAAGACTTAGGGCAAATTTATAATTTTTGCAAAATGTTTATGGAGTGTGCTTTAATCTTAATTAAAAGAATTAGAATTTAGTTTAACAATGATTAGAGGTTCCAATTGATAGCCCACTGCTCTTCCAATTCATACCCCATACTCTTGAATCATTTTAGTTCTTATTTTCTTTCAATTCTTAGTAATTCTCATAATTGCAATTTTACCCTTTTATAGGAATTATTTCAAAATGGTTACTACTCAGTTTCCCTTTAGGTTTCAATCATTTCAGTGGATTAATTATCATTTTTTAGTTCCCCCTTCTGATTAATTTTAAAAAAAATTAGTGTTAGAGTGTAAAATCCTAAAATTACAATTCTACCCCTAGGGTTTACACCTCTCAACTTTCAATTCTTAAGTAAAGTGAACATGAGTCTTCATTGACCTTTTATTCATGGATTAATTATGTAAACAGAGAAGAAAGTATATTTTTTGGATATTTATTTATTTTTTAGAATTATTTATACTCAAAATAGTGAATTTAACATAATAATAAATTTAACTACTCAAAATAGTTTCTCTTTTCTTAGATAAATTTTATGATATTGCTCATTATTAGGGGACTAATCAGAGCTAATTTTGTGATTTTTCAAAATATAATTTAATTTTTATAATTTCTAGATGATTTTTCAAGAGAAAATGAAATAGAAAATATATTTTCATTTTAAAACAAAATTTTATTTTCTTTGATTCTCTTGACCACATAGAACTCACCAAATTTAGTGTTGTAATTTTGTGATTTATAATTTTTTTTATAATTATTTTACCAAAATAGTAACATTTTCATTAAAAAAATAGGGTTTCTAATGGTTTCTATGTTAGGAGTTTTCTGTGACTTTGAAAAAATCAGGAAACACTCCTAATGTCATAATGAACAAACCATTAAAATTTTAATTCAAAATGATTAATATATGATTTTTTATGTTTAAAATAAAATTTTAAAGAATAAATTAATTTACAAATAAATGATAAGCAATTTATTTTAAAATTTTGAATCCGTAATTTCTCCTCCCTCCACGGAGCACTAGGATATTTTTAATTTATGTTTATAATTTTTCTACACCAAGATACAATTTTCAAAGTTTAAATCAATTCCTGGAATTAGTTGAATCAGAAAATCCCATAATAAAACCACAATAACACCGCAGTAATGCACAAATAAAATGACAGAATAGTGTAAATAACTCCTTAATACTGCCATAAATACAACGAAAATAAAAGGGCACAAATAAAATGGTGGAATAGTGTAAATAACTAAATAACTCCAGAATACTACCATAATACTACGTAAAAGTTACAGATACT